GTATTGTTGCCTCAATTTTGGGCCGGGATATACGCCAGGGAGGTGAAGCCTAACGAGCATGGTCCATATCTACCCATTCTTTTTGCAGGAACGAAGCATTGAGCGCCGTTTAATAAGTTATGAGGTGGAGAGGTCGAGAGGGAGACAGAACGTGCGTGCCGTTGAGCGCCTTAATTAGACCATGAGGGGGTTGTCGTCGTCAAAATTGAGTCGTTCCAGTTGAGGTGTTCTTTCCGGAGGAAACATCGCCGCTCGCGAGGGATCCGCCAGGCAGATTTCGGGATTTATTTGCTCAGTGGTGTCGGGAAGAAGTTCCCTGTGTGTGCGTAACTCGTATCGATCACATTTTCGATGCTGTTTTGATTCTAAGAAATTCCTAGCTTATACTCCCCCTCTTCGTCTTCAACAGGCCTTTACTTTAGCCTCTAGAGCAACGTATCTATTTGTAAAGCTTCTAAAAATTCGGCGTCAAAATTCGTTTTGCGGAGGAAGTTGCCGTAAAAAAGCGACTACGCTGAACGTGCCGCAAAGTGCGTGTTGTGGCAAGCCTGATTGACGACTTTCACGTCCAGGGCTCTCCGTGTCTACTAAATATTACTCATATTTGGCTGTCTAATTTTTCGGGACCGCCGCAGGACTTGCGACAGATGGAGAATAGAGGACAGACATTTGCATGCATAAGATGGGCGAAAGCGGCTTTCATTCGAATAAAAATTGCTGGCTGTCTCCGAAAACGATTCGCGTTGTTTCTAGCGAAATGGCCCTAATTCTGCCCCGGGTTACCGCCGGCATCAACTGTGCGTTGCGCAGATTTCTAAAATTTGACATCGTCTATCTTATTTTGGGTTCAGTACGACCCCCATCATCACCATCAAGTTTCGGGGAGTCTCAACAACACCCCTTTTCCCCATCCTCGACCCCCGACCACCACCATCACTACCATGGCTGTTTCTATAGTCTTTACTTCTGACGCCAGTCGGCACTGCTCAACTCTTTCCTCCACGCGATCGTCGAATCGGGGGGGGGGGTAAGGGAGGGAGGTTAATATGCCTGAGGAAACGGTCCTCTATTGTTTTCAGTAATGGCTTTCACAAAGTTTTACCTAAAATTGTCAAAAACCCCTTCGAACACGACTCCTTCAACTTCCGAAAATACGACCTCTTTCTAAAGAACTGCGCAACGCACGGTTGACCCTGGAGCAGGGTCGGTCCTATCGTTGTTACTTTTCGAAAAATTTTTACGACCCCCCTCCCCCAAGGTGGATTTGATACGACCCCCTTTTCGACCCTCGACCACCATATTCCTCAGTATTTAATTCTGGTACCACTCAACCCACCAAACCCCGCCCACTTTTTCCTCCAAAAATGCCGTCGAGCGGGGGGGGGGTCATCTCATGCAATTTCTTACAATCGAAGCAAGTACTACAATCGAAGCAAGTACGACCCCCCCTCTACAAACTCATCAAAATATACGACCCCCCTCTACAAACTCATCAAAATACGACCCCCCGTTGCTACTTGTAGCAACATAGGGTTGACCCTGCCCTGGATCCCATCCGAGCCCCTAGCCGGTCACAGACACTCACACTTACCTGATGTCATCCCTTATGTGTAATGAGGCAAATGCTCCTCTTATGACACGATTACTACTCCAATATTCAACTCGTCAAGTCCCTTTTCTGAAGAAGGATTGGTGCGCACTTAGTCAAGTGCAGTCTAATTAAGCTTTCGGCCGGTGTGTGCGAGCTTGAATTGAGTGTAATGAGAATGAAGTTAGAAAGGGAAATTCTCTGCAAAGGATTCGATCTGCTTGCTGTAAGGAAAGAGCTCGAATTGACGCTGATGCGATGATGAGATAATGAGATTAGCAGTAGGGCACAGGAAACATCTGCTCATTCCTTCCTTTGCTTTACTTGGCCTTAATTCCTCCCGGATAACACTTAGATGTAGTTCATGGATGCTTTTTTTACCATAATCCTTGAAATAGAGTCGGAGTCTGCCGAACTTTCAATTCGAGTGCTTTCAGCCGTTTGCCTCCTTGCTTTGTCTTCCTAATCCAATTTTATTGCTGCCCTTTGTAGCTCTGCCTTTGTTAAAATTCCTTCTCTACCGAATTTATCGTTTGGCCAGTTTGACAAAGTACACCCAAGCGCCTCCTAGATGGCTCTGTTTTTCTCGTTAGGCGAAGCCTCTTCACGCATGAGGTAAGAGCAAAATAAAGCACCAATTTGGAGCGTATGAACGCTTCAGCTGAAAGCCTGGAGAGGCTGCTGAACACGTCACGGCCAACGATTGTTCTCGGTAGAACTGGCATGTCAAACGGCTAATGAGAGGGTGACTTGTAATGAGCACTTTCATTTCGTTCTTTTTCGCCTTCAATATCAAATTTCACCAATGTGCAGGCTGCTTCAATATGGGCTGAATTAGCTGCAATGAAAAGCGTTTTTGCAGTGCTCGTCAACGCGCAAAAGCGAACGTTGGCCGAGGCGCAGTTTTTCGAACTGTTTGCCCGAGACGTAATCCTTTCATTTAACATGCCCTACTGATTGCACGTTACTAGGGCTACGGGACCTTTACCTGTTCCTTCGGCAATAAATTGTAGTATTTCGCTAATTCCTTGAACAATTCCTCACATGTGACAAGCTTTGTCCTTCTAGGACAGTCATAATTATAAATACAACGAATGTGTGGTCCATTGCACTAGCTGAAGTAGGGTCAATACTCAGAAGAGTTATAGGTGTGTCATGTGTTGGACTGTTTTCCCAGAGAGGCGAACATGGCCGCGCCCCTGAAATCGGAATTCTGCCTGACGACGGCTGCTCTGACTGGGTTCTCATGAAGACAATAATGCCGCAAATAATGCCTCATAACAAGAATCTGTTTACTTTGAGGCTTTTGTTCTGGCCAGAGACAAAATTTGCTTGAACGAGCTGACGATCGTCGATAACATATAATAATTCGCAATACAATTGAAAACTACAAAACAACGGCTATTGCAAAAATAATAAACTAATAATTTATGTGAGCAATAACATCCTGAGCTATACGACTCTATTTTCTCTAGCCAGGATTCGAGCTTGGATCCCTAACGCTACGGGCAGTTGGTGCAAGCAATTACACCACCAAGCGCAAGGGGGTTTCACGATTATAGTGCCTTATCTTGGAGACAGCGTTCATTATCTTCACCTAAACTTGTGTTGTTCATGGTCACAAACAGATTACGTGAAATATTGTTCTGGGCCAAAAAGCAGCGATAGTTTAAAGGCAGCGATTACGATAAAGTGGGAAGCGCATCGGGAAGCATATACACCACACGAATCAGTTACTTGGCTGCCAGGAAGCGAGATGTAGCGCTTTCACGACGCAAGGTTCGCTGGTTGCTGAGCAGGACTTGAAAGCACTCCGCCCCCAAAAGCGATCCGCCCACTAGTTTAGTTGGTGATTTGGACGTAGCCGACGTCAGCCAAAACAGCCATCGCAAACTGGATGCAGTCTCGGCTTGTTAGCATGATCTAGGCATGCCTCTGAAACTGATACCTGTCCTGTTCATAGAGTGTAAACTAACAGCCAAAAAAGGGGTCCTTATGTCCGATTGGTCTTCACGGCATTTTCCCCCTTTTTTCGTACTGGCGTATCACTTAGCCACCGAATATCTATAGAAACTTCCGCGCACCTTGCGGATGCCTATTAACTGCAGCTTTTTAGGCAGCGCACACATATCGGAAGCACCAAACCTGCAGGTCGAAATCGCGATATCCAAACTGAATAAAGTCCACTAAACATTACGACACGCGCGAAGTGGAGTTAGAGGATCTATACACCGTTGTCAGATATTTTTTTGCTGATTTCAAAGCTTGTTCCAGAAAATCAAAACTTTCTGCTTGCTTAGCTTTCCAAAACTTGTAGGAAGTTCTAGAAACGGAATTCGAAAAGTGAACTTGAAATTCAAAAAATCGAAAGACTCGGGATGCGTCGTGCGTTGTAACTCCGGCATAACCCCAATTTGGAAATGTCCATGCATAATTTATTTGTGCAATGATCATCCAAACCAAGAATTCCGTACAGGTTCAGGTCGGTTTTTGCTCAAGCTAGAAGCGGTGAAACTATAGCATGACCTAATGGGATCCGAATCGCTAGAAGGCAATGCTACTGATCTTTGGCAATACACACACTATGCATCAAATGGCGTGGAATGCCAAAGATCAGGGACATATGCGGGTAGGGTGACTGGGGATGGTGATAAGGGGGGTGCTGAATGTGGATAATCCTTTTCCTACTGGGTTATCTAATAATTTAGTATTCATTTTTGAATCTATTTCGCCTAAAAATGCCTCTTTTGCCCTTATCAGCCGGAAGTTTTATTTGGCTTGCGGATTCCGTCCATTTTCCGTGCTTGTTTTCGAATGTTGCATTGTTTTCGCCATTCCGTTGTCGCCAGGACATCCTAAATCGGGCGTGTTTACTCTAATTTGAATGTATCGTCGGCCTTCAGAATGATATCCTCATCGAAGCATGGCCATTGGGATTTCCATGTGTGAAAAAGGCTCACAGCTAGACCGAGGCGACTTTTCCGTCACCAGTGTTTGAAGTTTCGGGTTGACACTTTTAAGGGGAGATATACTAGTGGCAAGAGGCATCCGTGATCCATGAAAGGAACATTGCGATTTTACGAAAAAGTTAGGTTGCATGGCGCATCAGAAAGCAATTGATTAGTGCTGAAGAATTAATTCTTTCTACTCTATTGTACTATAAAATTAAGTGCGGTATCCTCCGTGTGCAACTCTTTCACGTGTTCTAATGGAAAGCAACCGCGCCAATGTTGCACTTTATAGCTCCAATTAAGGAAAAAAGTGCTGCTGTCCTCTTTTTGCGCGTAATTTTTTTGTCTGTCAAAGTAGAGTAGCCATTTTTGAAACCTTATTTAATTGCAAATGAAGTTAAATTAGAGTCAAGCAAACCTCATTTTACACTTTCTCCTTGAAAATTTAAAGGCATGCCCAGGCACATTGGAGTGGCTCCTGCACACGAATGCGAATTATTGGTGCGAAATGGCCGGGAGTAAAGAATCCAGAAAACGTTAGGTTAAGGGCTCACTCACCTTCCTAATCGGCTGTGCTAAGGGAATGAGAGACTAAGCGCGGAAGAGGAGAGTATGGGCGAGAGAGCGCTACAGATGAGAGAGCGCCAGACAACAGCCTGATAAGAAAAAACTCGCTGCAGCAGCTAGCTTTTCGCTAAGCCGTCCGCACCGCACTCTGTAGTCGGTGGCTCTCCGCTGACGCGGAACGCCACATTTGCTGATTTCTCCTCTCAGGTGTTCCCAACTACAGACGCGGAAGAGAAGCGTTTCACACGACCCCTGCTGGGTGCTGCCTTTAGCTTTAACATTGATTACCATAACAAAAAAGGGACTGGTGAAATGGCTGCGGTTCCATCGCAAAATAAAGCAAGGGCTCAACGGAGGTATCTTCGTGAGATTAAGCATGAGCCATCGCGCGATCATTTGGCCTTTTTCGGAATGTCGCCGAAAAAGCCGAGAGCGTGTGTGAGTGATCCAATAATCCATCTGTTGTCGCGACGTCGCCCACTTTCTAAAAATGACAAGAGCGCTTCGAATTCTCGTCACGTATGATGATTTTTGCCGAGACACTGGTCGACCTTGACGGGCCGCTTTTCGGCGCTATCGCAATATACGGAGGCATCCTCAGGACTAAGCTGAGAGAGGGCTGAGAGCTCCCAGCGGAACTAGAAAATAGCCAACGCACCCTCGGGAGTCTTCTCCTCTTTCGACTAAGACTCCCAATCCCCTTCCAAGCAAAAAAGCGTATTTTACGCAGTATTAAGTGAATTGTCAGCACTGTGCCCCCGTATATTACGATAGCGCCCTTCTATGGATACCCATTTGAGTTCGTATGACGATCTTGCTCGTGCCGTAAACGCTCTACAGGACATTCAGGAGCTGGTGGGTGGCAAGCTAGCGGCTGTGGCTACGTGGGTGGACGCTAGGGCTTTGGTTGTCTCCCAATCGGTGATTTCGTGCATTGCGAACGCTCCTATCAAATTTTATGACAGTGTCACTTTACTGCGCTTTTTCTGCGCGCGCGCATGTCTGGTAAAGCGAACATGACGTCAAACAGACCCTTGCTGAGAGATTTTCTCGGCCATCTGTTCTATGTCCTTCATCAGCTCAAAATTTTGTTGGCGGACCTTGGTTCAGTTCTTGGCGAGAGGAACTCCGACGGAAGACGAGAAGACGAGTGGGAATCGCGAACTCTCCACACATATATCATGCAAGAAGGGCATATAGCATGCGAGAATGACGGGTAGGGGTAAGGGCTGAGAATATTCTGTTGAACTTCGTGGCTGTTGTTCCGGAAAGATCGTTCTTGATGTCCTAAATATCGGAGCTTCGCAATACTTCATTGCATTGAGAAGTGCGACATTCTTTTCTGGGTGGTCTACTTTTCAGACTTCTCGATTCGTCCGGGCTTCGCTCATTCGTTACAGCCACTGATGGCTAACAAAGAAAGAGCACTTGAACGAATGAAAAAATCCAATCGTGGGGAGTGTCGCTCAGCCAAATCGTTCAAATAGCCTGCTCGTTTTGATTTGTCTGGGCGATGTGAAACAAAACAGAAGGGAGGGCGGAGAAACCCAAGGAGGTGAGGGAATCGAAATAGTGCCTTTAAGCAGGAGCGGAGCAGTCACGAAACAGCGATGAATTTGTAGTGAATCAGCAGTGTATAATCGGCAATTTCTCGCTTTGCATTGCTACGCTCCAAATGCAAAGGATAAAGGGATAAAACATCCCGATGCCTGCGTCAGATCTCTTTCGAATTGCGCCACGTATTTCCTACTCACGACTTTCGGAACGTGCGCCAGCATCTTGAATGCCAATTTGACATTTTCAATGAATCGCGGCGTCCAGCCGATGTATTATCTGTGTTTATACTCGCAGACAAGCCCGTTAACAACTCGAGGCTGGAGCCCTTGACTTGCCAGTGCCCCCCCCCCGCTCGACGGCTATTTTGGAGGAAATGTTGGGCAGTGTCAACTGGTCTCTGAATCAAATACTATAGTAACAGCTGGGGGGGGGGGGTCGTAAAAGTTTTGAAATTTGTCCAACGTTGACAGCTGACCCTGTTTGTGGCGGCCACTTACTGCAACAACGCTTCTCCAGGTCCCTATGCTTGCCCATGAATTTCAAAACAGGAATTTTGAGTCCATTTTCGAGTGGAAAACGCGCGCTTTTTCTATTCGCCCCTCCTTTTTTGCTCAAAATCGCTCAACAAGCCGGAACATCATAACAGTGCTTTTGAAAATAATAATAGCCATCTCGGCGTTACCATTAATATTCAACAAATTACTAGCTTAGATCCTTTATCTATGGAGATTTATGGCGTTATCGATTTTAGATTAACAATTTGTAGCCATTCCTTAATTTTCAGTCCTAGCGTGATAATTATCGGGTTCCTGATCGACTTTTGGTCTGACGCTCACCGTCACGTCGTTGGTGTGCAAGCGAATGCGGAGATGTCCCCTGTACAGAGATCGGTCCAGTAAGTGCTCGGTCAGTGAAGCGGTGCGCTAACCGGTTGAGATTTTCGAAGATTTCAGTGCTTTCCCACTCAGTGCAAGCGGCGACGATGTATCGGCCGGTAGACACGATACCACCGAAGATTTACGAGGGTGAGTTCTGCCATCTTCTCGCGCCAACACCCTGATTTCTGCGGTTTCCGTCTCATTTCCCACCGAGTTCCTCACGCGAAGGTCTATATACAATCATCGCCGCAGCTGGAATCGGCTCGTTTTTCAGTTGTGCCCAGCGAGAATGCGCAATTCGGATTGTGACAGGGTTTCATTTATTACAGCGGCCGACCAGGCTCTGCCTCTTGCTGGCTACCCCGAATCACTTAAGAGCGTTGTGCTGAGCTAACAAACATGTCCCTGGAGGCCATTAACCATGGTTCCACTCCCTTTCAAACACTTTCATGGAAAAGCCAGAGACGGAAGGCTTCAGCAAAGTGATCGTTGGTTTCGGATCGGAGGTAAAATATTGCTGTGTCGGTTGAAGCTCTTCAGAAAACATTAAACGGGCTGAGAAGGAAGAGAAACGCCTGCCTCGCTCGATATTGCTGCGGTGCACGTCATTTTTATTTGCTACGCTTTTAATTGGCGGAAAAACAAGCAATTGGCTCTCGTCTATCGATGACCTGAGAATGCGCCGTGCATTCGGTTGCTTTATCCAAAGCATGGGAGGCTAAGTGGAGGTCAGACTGGTCCATTTCGCACCGTCACACTCCTGAAGGCAAAGGTCAGGGTAAATTTAATGAGCTAATTCTACTCGAATACGAAACTGGTGATGGTGATGTGAGGTGGACTATAAGGAAAAATGAAGAAATATCATCAAAAACACAGAAATTACAAAGCTCGCAAAAAATTTCGGAAAAAAGAGGAATACGAAGTCTACGCGGTTGAGAAGTCTCAGAGGCTGACAGACAGCGAAATAAGAGATTATTTGAATCGCGGAGAGGCGAAAAAACTCCGAGTTGAGGGAGCACAGCTGGTAAGACACAGATAAGTATCGATCGGTGGGCGGATACGGATCGAACGGGCGTTTGCTGATCGGAATCGTAGGCGCTAGGCCTCGGTATGACGTCTCAAGGAGCTAGTTTGTCGCAACTTCTGCAGTTGCCGACCTAGCACCTCCACCCAAAGGTAGGAAATCTTCAGTGAGGCTGAGCCCGACCTTTGCCTCCCGACAGTTTTCTTCTCCAATAGATGGCGTGGTAGAATGTGAGGAGTCTCATAAGCGTCGATCTTCCCCTACTCGAACCACTTACTTGATATATAGGTTTACATGCCGGTCGTTCAGCCTGTAGCTCTATAAATATTTATTTGTTTGTCTGTGTGATTGCCCGCAAAGCGTCCTACCATACCAGTGGGTGTAGGAAAGGACTGCTGAGGAAACTGGAAAGCGACTTCGAGCTGTTGAAAAGCTCTCAGAGACCTGAGAAAAAAGGGATGTCATCCTGCTGAGCTGCACGGTTCATG